CACTGCTGCTGCTCCTGGTGGTGGCTGCGAGCGTCCTGCCCGGAGCTGGCGGGACCTGCCCGGAGCGGGCGCTGGAGAGGCGGGAGGAGGAGGCGAACGTCGTGCTCACGGGCACGGTGGAAGAGATTCTCAACGTGGACCCGGTGCAGCACACGTACTCGTGCAAGGTGGGACCCCAAGCCCCGTGGGCCCCCGACCCCCCTGCCGCTCTGTGGCCCTCCAGCCCCCCTCGACACCCGGGCCTGGGCTTCCCCTCTCCATCCCGGCCCCCTCGCCCCAGGCCCTCCCCTGCGATGCCGGCGGCCCGCTGGGACCCCCGCCCCCAGGTCGTGGGAACGCGCTCCCGGACGCTCTGCAGCGTCCGATCCCGCTCCCTTGGCGACCGCCGAGCCCCCGGGTGGGGCCCCGGTCCCGGAAAACTCGCGAGCACCGGAGGGAAAGTTCCCGCGGTGCCGCTGCAGTCCAGTGCCCAGGCCCGGGGGAGCCAGTCGTGTCTGCTCCCCAACCCCAAGCCCACTCAAGGCTCCTGCACGCCTTCCCCACCAGCCAAAGAAAGGGAATAGGGACAAGGAGAGGTGTGAGTGTCCCTGCTGGGGTGGGGGTGGGGGCCGGGCCTGTAGTGAATGCTGTCACCCCCCAGAAGCCATTACCAGGTGAGAGAGGAGGTGGTCAAAAGAGGGATGCACGGCCTAGTGGGAGTGCTGCAGTGATTGGGTGTGGGGTCAGGAACGGGGCGGGGGGGGGTTTGCCGAGTCTAGTGTGTGGGTGGGGGCGGCAAGGGCAGGAGCCCCCTCTAGCTTCTGGGAGAACCTGGGCTCCCACAGCCACAGGGAGGAGGGTTTTGTCCTGCTTCACCCTCTGTTGGATCTGGGGCCCCTGGGTCTCATATGGTGGATTTTTTTCCCTCGCAATCTGCTCCAGTGGAGGGCTCTGGGGAGGAAAATCCCGCTCACTCCCCTCCAGCCCAGAAACCACCTCGCTGGACCAGACCAGAAATCAGATTGTTCCTCCTGCATGGAGATGGGGAGGGTGGCAGTGCTGCTTTCAGATGGCGCCCATGCAGTCTACAGCTGGGATCCCCGCCACCCCCCTCCCCTCCACGACCCGCGGGGCATGCTGCCAAGTCCCTGCAGGATTTTCCCGACTTCCTCCCTGCAGCTCCTGGGTGTGGCTGGGGGGGGGGGGAGGTGATGAAAGCCACTCAGCCCCTCCCCAGCCTGGGCTATCCTAAGGCCTTCCAGAACACACTGTGTCTGTCTCCAGGGGCAGGGGGAGTGGGGTTGGACAAGGCCTCACCTAGGTGAACAGAAGGTGGACAGAGCCCTGTAGATGCTGAAGACCCAGGCAGGGGATAGGCCACCCACTGCCTCTCACCCCCCATTCCAGAAGGCTCCGGCTGGGTGCAGGCTTGCCCACCTCCAGCCCCCACCCCCTGCTCTTGAGGAAGGGGCTTTCTTAGGGCTCCTTCAACAGGGAGTGCCTGTTCCTAAGGAGCTGCCTGTACAGCCCACTATGTACATCCCCAGGCTGGGGCTGTCAGGACCAAGTGGGTGGCAGTTTGTCAGAGCAGGTGCCCTTAGGGCCTGAGAAGCAAGGAGGGTGGGGCACCCTGGGAAGCTGCCCGAACTTGATTCTGTGGTTCCCTGGTGCCTTGACTGCACACGCTATTGGAGCCTGGTGGGAGGAGGGGGCTTCCACCTTCTGAGGGGAGGGTGTAGTAGCCCACCCAAGGGGCTGGCCCAGAGCCCCCAGCCCTGAGCCTGTCCCCCTGAAGCCCCTGCTCCTGGTTTTTTCCACGTGGGCCCCGAGTGGTGGGTGGGCAGATGGGGAGAGGCAGAGGGGGCTTGGTAGGCAGATGCCCTGGGCCCCCAAGTCTAGCGTGAGCTGAGGTGGTATTATTGGGGTTTAGGGTGGCTGGGGTCAGCTGGACCTGGGAGCTCGGGAGCTGCCTCCTGAGGGAGGGAGTGTGTTCCCGGGCAGTGTGTCCTCATGTATGAGGGCCTGTGGTGTCCCTGCAGCTTTCGATGGGGGGCTGACCAAAGGTCTCCATGTGACAGCCCAGGGCTTGGGTCTACTCAGGACATCTGGCCTGAGTAACCAAGGCCAGAAGTGAGGGAGGTCACTACCTTTGGCCTCTGTGGACCCCTGTCCCCCAGAGGGAAGGGCACCATTGACACCTGCCCCCGTATTCCCAGGTTCGGGTCTGGCGGTACCTGAAGGGCAAAGATGTTGTAACCCCGGAGAGCCTGCTGGACGGTGGCAACAAGGTGGTGATTGGTGGCTTTGGAGACCCCCTCATCTGTGACAACCAGGTGTCCACTGGGGACACCAGGATCTTTTTTGTGAACCCTGCACCCCCATACCTGTGGCCAGCCCACAAGAATGAACTTATGCTCAACTCCAGCCTCATGCGGATCACCCTGCGTAACCTGGAGGAGGTGGAGCACTGTGTGGAAGGTGCGAGGGGTCAGGGAGTGGGGAGGGCAGCAGTGGTTAGGTGGTGGCAGATGGGTGACTGGCTGTGGGCAGAGGCTGGCAGCTTGGAGGAGGTGACTGAGAGCTAGGGCCCCGTCATGCTCTGAGGACAGAGGGAAAGTCTGCTGTTGGCTGGAGCACACGGTGTTCTCCGTTGGCCGTGCTCCCTGCTTCTGTCTGTGTCTGGCCAACCCAGGTCAGGGGCCTCAAGTGCTGACGCTAGCACCCACACTCTGACGTCCTTCGTCTCAGAGCAGAAGGAGTCCCAGCCCTACAGAAGGACAGGCCTCCTATGTGTCCATTTCCCCCAGCTCTGCTCACTTCCCTTTTTGAGGGCCCCCTTTCCAGGGGAGAGGGTGGGACCAGGTGAATGAGTACCAGCTGTTGATGTTCCCACAGAAGCCCAAACATCTGTTTAGACTGGGCCCAGATGTCCTGCAAACTTTGCTGGGGGCGTGGGGGCAGTATGTAGGGATAGAGAGCGACTGCGCCATGTTTGTTTCAAAGGGGCTGTCATTTCTGAGACGGGGCAGCTCTGTGGGTAGGGGTAGGTTTGGGACCCTAAGGAATATGAAGAACCTTTCCTTGCCCCCGGCCCCCACTTGTCTGTTCTGAATGGCCCAAGGATGCCCCCTCCCCCACCCAGCCGCTGGGAAGTGGGACTCACGTGACAGACCCCTCTAACCCCAGGACAGTCCCAGTTGGGGGCTGAGATCCTTGGCTGGGAAATGAAGCAGGGGGGGTGTAGGAACTGCTCGTTGCCCCCACATCCTGTCTGTCCCGTCTGCCTGGGAAGGGATGTACCCAGGCCCAGGGGTGGTCCAGAGAGGATGCTTCCTCCCAGGGTGGTGGGAAGGGTCTGTGACTTCCTGCCCTGGGGAAGGCGACCCCCCCTTGCCTTCTTGGCCAGGCTGAAGTCTCATCTTCTGACTTTCTACTGTGACTCTGCTTGAGGGGTCTCTGTGGGTGCTAGGTGGACACTCAGCTCCTGGGCTTCCAGCTCATGTTCAAGGTGGGGAGGCTGCACAGGGGAAGGGGCAGTCCTGAAATGAGCCTACAGCTTCTCTCTAGCCTGTGGTCGGCTGCCTTCTGGGCCCAGGCCGAGAAGGGTTCCATGGGGCAGGTGTCCATGGGGCAGCATCTCCATCTTATGCAGGATCCCAGTCTGGCTCCCCAATGGGGACCACCGAGATACTGGCCCTGCTGTGGAAGCTTGTGAGCTTGGTGGGCGGCTGGGTCAATTGAGCAGGCTCCATTAGGGGAGAGGAGGAGGCGGCAGTTGTGGGGCTGCTGATGGGGAGAGGTGACACGGGGTAGGACTGGCTTTGCCAATGATGCTAAGTTTTGGGAGGGGGTGCTGAGGGGCGGCTGGAGCCCAGGACCAGGTCTTCGCTGCTGGGGATCGGTCAGGGAAGGGTCAGGAGAGTGAGGTCGGGCACTGACAATTCCCGGTCTCTCTAGATCAAGAGAGGAAATAATTAACTCTGTGAGGCTGGGTGGGTCCAGTCTCTGAGGGTCTGTGACTCAGTAACTGAGGACCTGCCATGGGGTCAGAGGGCATGTGGAAGGTGGTCACTCTGGGCAGAACATGGTAAGGCATCTGTCAAGCTGCCTTGACCCATGCTAAGCCCTGGCTTTGTGTTGCAAATGCCCAGGCTGGCAGCAGGATGGTTGGTAAGGAGCAAGACCGCTGCCCAGCCCATAGACCCTGGTGGGCGAAGGCTACCAGGGAGGGGCAACCCTGAGCTGAATCTAGTTGGATCTCTAGTCAACTGAGGTGGTGGGTGGCTGTGTCTGTCAAGCCTTGCTTGGGGGAGCCCCCCAGGACGGGGGTCCAGAATAGGGCCCAGTGAAGGAGCTTGGGCTCTCCTGTGAGGCACCAGGGTCCTTGGAAACCTCAAGCTGGGACTGACTGTCCATTTCTGCTTTGGAAGAAGACCAGGGTACCTAGGGTGGCCTAAGGTTCAGGGTGCATCACAGGGCCTGAAGGACAAGATTCCTTGGAGTTACGGCCAGGCCTGAGGAAGAAACAATTGGTTTGTGCCCAGCCCACCCAGGCTGGCTGGGGATGGAGGAGGGCCCACCTCCTGTTCTGTGGGAGATAGGACAGCCGACCCCACCTCAGATACTGGGGCTGGGCACCCAGAGCCCAGGCTTCTCCCCAGTGAGGAGGACAGACAGGACAGGGCTTCGCCAAGTTGACCCCTCCCTGTCTGACTCCTACCCTATTCTGCTCCCAGGGGGCCACAAGCTACCTCACCCCACAGGGTACAGGGTAAAGTCTTGGTAGCTCCTGGTCTGCAGAGGTTACCCTGAAACCACTGGGTCCCTCCTTGTGGGAGAATCCCTGTTCCCCGAGGACCCCCACAGGGAGGCCCAGAACATGGGGGGCATGGCCTGCCAGGGGTGCCTCCTTCAATGGGTGGTTGCAGCCCCTCCCAACTCCAAGCCAGGCCCCCCAAAGACCACAGTCAGAAAGACTCAAGGCCTCTGTGCTCAGTGGCCCCTCCCCTCCCCCCAGTACTCAGACCCCTCCCCTCCTTTCCCCACCTCTTCTCCCTGGCCTGGGCGTCTGATCTGCTCTGCAGAATGGTCACATCCTGGGAGGGGTGTCTTGCCCAGAACCCTGGGGAGGGTATCCCTGAAGTGAGAGGATGGAGGCTGCCCCCATCAGGCCCCATGCAGCCCTGGCCCTCCCCCTCCTCACCCTGCCAGGGCTCTGCTCCTCAAAGGTGTGGTTCTTGACTCTATTCCAAAGGGCTCCTGCCAGTGGCAGCACACCTGACTGTCAGCTCTACTAGAGACCAGCTTCCCTTCCTCAGTTTCTCCCCAGACCTGCAGGGTCTCCTGGCCCTTTCCAGGGCGAAGCCCCTCCCCCAGCTCCCCAGCCTGGCTCCTCCTCCCCCGCCTGGCCTGGGGAGCCACATTCCTGACATAGCTGAGACAGGTATGCGCCCCTCCCTCTGCTGCCACCTTTGGGCGGGGCGGGGGAGGGCTCCGGCTCTGGAAGGAGACCCCCACCCCCGCTTTGTTGGGAGGCGGCCTGGCCTCTCTCAGTGTGGCCACCCACACTCCTACAGCCTGAAGCTACCCTGTCCTGGTCCAGGCACTGCCCACAAGATCCCCAGCCTCCCACCCTTTCCCACCCCCACCCCGTGAAGGCATGTCCTGGAGCTCCCCTGAAGCCCCCAGGAAGGACTCCGGCCTGACTGAGGGCCAGCAGGGTGGCCTGGGCCCTCCCTCCCCACGAGGGGCCAGGAGTGGAGAAAGGAAGTGTTGTCTGCCCTCTGCTGAGGCCTGGCTTGGGTACAAGGCAGGGGGCCAGGGCCGGAATGAGTCTGGCTCTAGCCCAACCCTGCCCTGTTCAGCCCTGAAGTTGGGGGTCCTGACAGCTAGACTCCGGCCTGGAGGGCCCTCCCTTCTTCCTGGCTTGGGGGGTGTGCTCTGGGTCCCAGAAGCAGCAAGAACTTTGGGGGAACAGGGCCTTCAGGAGGACAGCCTGGGCTTAGGCCTGGAGAGGAGGCCAGCCTGGCTGAGGCACCTCTGGGTCTCTGAACAGGCCCGGTGGGCTGTGGGCAGGTGTGGGTGGCCGAAGACACAGATGGGGTTAAGGGAGGTTCTGGGCTGGGGGGCAGGCAGCCCTGCTCTCAGGCACTTTGCTCTGCCCCCTATTCCTCCCTGCTGAGCAGGCATGGGGGTTGGGGTGTGTCGCTTCTCACTGTTCTTGATTCCCTCCTGGCCCTTTCCTGACTGAGGTTCTAGCCCTGCCCCTCCAGACCCCACTCGGGCCCTCCCCCAGCCTGCTGACCCTGGAGGAGGCAGGTCTGGGCCTGGACTGGAGGCTTGCTTGCCCAGAATCTCTCTCCTGAGGTTGGGGGTGGGGTCCACCCAGGTAGGGAGGCCCCACGGCCTTCTCCCCACTCGGGGGTTCCTGGTAGGAAGTGGGATCAGGCACTCCCCGTGCACAAGAATGGACTTGTCGGCCTTTTTGCTCAGCTGGCTCAGCTGGCTCAGCTGGGCTCGCTTGGGCCTGGGAGTTGCTGGGGCAGCCCCAGGGGGCTTTGTGACTGCAATCTGAAACCACAGGGGCTCAGTGGTGGTCAGGGAGGAGATCCCGCTTCCCCCAGGTGACCCCCTTTAGACAGGAAAAAGGGCAGGGCCGAGCTGGTGGAAATAGCTCTTGGCTTTTTCCAGACTCCCACACCCCCATGCTAGGGAGGGGAGGGAGGAGGGCACCTCCATTCTCCTCTTCCGATGGGCAAATGGAAAAGAAACTGTCCCGCCTGCCTATGTCTACACTGGCTGCCTCCCTAAGTCTATACTGTGGGTGCTGGACAGAAGTGTATTCTGTGGGACCAGCCTGTGCCCTCACAGCATCCGTGGAGGGAGATTGGGTGGGATGAGGGTGACTCCATCTTCGAGGTCACCAGGGTCCAGTCAGAGGTCATCCCGGTCATTCCCCTGCTGCTGTGTGGCCTGGCTGCCTCCCTTCCTTCCTGAAGGATTAGCCCCTCAAACCCTGAGAATCAAAGCTTCCCTGTCACCGGCACAGCAGGAGGGTGAAAAACAGCTGCAAAACAGTCCCGCAGTCCCTCAGTCCCTGGCCTCCACCAGCAGGAACCTGGCCAGCTGCTCACTTCAGAGACTGTGGGCTCCCCCACCCCAACCCCAGGTTCTGATAACTGGGTGGGCAGGGACCCCACAGAAATAGCTACCAAGCCTGGGTGGGGTTGGGAATGACTCCCCTTCCTGCCCTGCACTCCTGCCCAGGACCCCTATTGGGATGGGGGAATGAAGGGAGGGAGCAGGCTTAGGGGACTGCTGGGGCTGTCCAGCATAGGCATCACCCACCGCGTAACCACTGAAGTCCCAGGAAGGCTCATAGGGTGGAACCAATGTTCCAGTGCTGCCCTCTGGCTCAGGGACCGGCCACTTTCTAGTCCCGGGGAGGCAGGATTGCCTGCTGAGCTGATGGAATGGGG